TTTTTTTTAGATCTGGCATCTTTGTTTGAAAACAAAAGAAACAAAATAGACTCATTGTTTGGTTTTTGACCTCAGTAATACAATATAGTAATGTTTCTTTTCTAAAGGTTTTCATAGTTATCCATCTAGAGAAAAGTACATGTCCTAGTTATACATAATTGTTGAAATGAGATTAAGCTCCAAAAATATCTATGTGTATAATGAATGTTGTATATGTTTAAAATGTAAGAATTTCCCGCTCTTTAAAAAAAACTGTCTTGGGCCAAGGAGATAGCTCAGCAGCTTAAGCACTGCCTGGCAAGCACAAAGTACTGTGTTTGATTCCTGGTGCCAGAAAAAGGTCTTAAGTATTAGAAGTACATACAGATTACCTTGTGGGGAAAATGTCAGAGAATGTGAGATGTAGTTTTACTCAGGGAAGGAAGGTGCTGGCCACCTGTACTCAGCTCTGTTCTGAAAGATCTACCCTACTGTTTTGTGTCTCAATACGGAGAGAGAAACAAAATATAATTTTAATTGTCACAGCTGGCATGGACAGTTCCTTGAGGTGGCTGAGAGAATCGCTTGGCTTAGGAAAAAGAGGATCGTTGTGTCTGTAGCTGTGAGCTTCTGATTTCTCTTCTTTTTTCATTTTGTCTTTTTAGCTAAACATATTACTCAGATGAATTATTGCACAGAGACCCAATCAAACAAAACAGACAACAAGTGAGCCGGACACTGCTTAGTGGCAGATGTTGGGTTGGGGTCTCATTGGTACCAAATGTCAGACACTGTTGTCATTCTGGATGTGTCCTCTGAGGTTCCAGTTATCATGGTGTGAGCACAAGTCACTGAAGGGACTGACACTCGATTCCCTTACTAGAAGATGTTTAAAAGCAATGTTTTTCACAACAGGGTATTATGCAAGGTCAAGGAATTACAGATCATGCTGCCAGAAGAAAGCCATCTTCAGAACTGATTCTTAAGCTGCCCTTTTAAAAATTAAAAGTAAGAAAAGGACAACCCACAATACTGTAAAATAAAAATGAATAGCTCATCAATTTAGAATTACAACAGTTTCCAGTCACACTCCCTTTGAAGTACAGTAGCTGTTTTATTTAGGAAAAAATAACATGGTTCTGTCAAAATTTGTATACTTCCAAAGTTTGTCAAATACTCTATAGTTTATTCTTATTAAAGCAGTATTTTTGAGAATTGTGGTGGAGGTAATCAAGGTTTTACGTAGGTGTTAATCTGAGTAAAACCTTAAAGTGTGTGTGTAGTAGGCATCTATGACCTGTAGGATGAATTAGGGAAAATAAGCTTAAGAGCCTTTCTCTTTTATATAGTTAGTTAATATAGAAGAATGCAAACTTTCAGGTAATTGTGATAAGACTAATTACAAAGCAAAAATGATCTTGTAAATACTATATTATATGAGTCATTTTAGTATTTGAGGATAATTTTCTGTTTAATCCATCATTAAGATCTATTTTTTAAAGGTTACTTTTATAATACTATTTTTTATTTAGAGTATAGTTTTATCCCTTAAAACAGGAAGTGACAGAAAATGAATAATGGTAAGTAAGGGTTTTACCCTTGATTTTTGTCCTAAGTTTATGCAGCAGTTACTGTGCAGAATTTTTGTCATTTAAATCCATTATGTAGCTAAGTATGGATTTTTAAGAAAAAAATTCAATTAGTTTTACTCAATTGGCTACCAAAATGTTATTGAGTAAATTGGCGTATCCAAAGGGTAAAGATTTGGCTCATTCTTTCTCTTGTTTTATTTCTAGCGCTTACAGCTAGGCCTAGAACAGAGTCGCTTAATAAATAGTTGGAACAATGAATCACATCAATACTTTTGGTAAAATATATAGCATGTCTGTTTTGTATTATCTGTTTATAACATAGCAGAATTATACTCTGGGGTAGCAATTAGCCCTGGAATCCAGTAATGGTGGTTGGTAGGTGCTTGTGGCAGAGAAAATACACACATAACGTGGGAGCAGCTTTCTGTCATGCTGAGGAGTTTACTGCTGCTTTGATTTTGCAAAGTATGGTATAATTTTGGTCCAGAATTTACCTGCCAAATTTAAAGGTAGAGAAGCGCTCTGATTTGCTTGATCTAAACAAAACATCTCTCAAGTCCAGTTATGAGCTAACTGAGAGGCATAAAGTCCAAAAATGAAAAACAACAGGTATGGTAGGTGTGTCTCGAGTGAGCATCGGTTGCAGTGGATAGCTAGACGATGGTCCCCGTAATCAGGCGGCACTAGGATGATGAGCTGCTGTGACCGTTATTTTACTCAATATGATTTTTAAACAAATGAGTTCAGTTTTCATTTGTGTTATATGGGAGATGTAATTCTCTAGTGCACTGACACGTTCTCTTCCTGAGCTCACTGAGATCTGGAGAGTGTCTGCCACACAGCAGAAACGTGGCCTGTGCCAGCTGCATCAGAACAGGGGAACACAGTTAGGCAGCTGCATGTTTCTAAAGAAATAACAGAGTCAGCCTAGGCCTACGGTGCCCCTAGGTGATTTTTTATGTCAGTGCCATATTTTCGTAAAAAGGCGATTCTTACCTGGGTATGTAAGGATGTACTCAATTCAGAAGGAAGCCACGTTTAACGTGAGCTGATCTTTGAGAATTTCTGCTGAGAATGGCTCTTGGCTTTTGTTTTGGTTGGTGTTGTTATACAGAACTTCTGTCCCTTTGCAACATACAACTTGTACTATTGAATAACGTGAACATATTTTTTAATGTTATAACATTTTTATTATATTACTTGAGTTATATTAATCAATTTTAGTAGTGACTGCTAAGTAATATCTTAATTCAAAGATTTAAAATCTTCAGCCATATGTAGGAATAGATTTAATGTGCATTTGCTAATCCTGTTCTAATTTAGACATTGTCAGTGTTATGTGTGTATAGTTTTTCCAAAATCAAGAATTTCCTTGGGGGCTTGTTTTACTGCTTTCACATTCCTTCCTGTTCTGTTAAGTCTAATGAGGTTTATCTGTCCTCTAGGTGACCTACAAACGAGATCTGTATGCGGCTGAATCGGTTATTAAGGGTATGTTTGGCCTTATAATTGTCAGTTCCTGTGTTTCAAAAAATGTAAGCCCGCTCCGAATTTCTCATGACATTTTAAATCCCAGCTGTCTCAAGAGGATAAATGGCTGTGGGCCACTGAGGTCTGTGATTGTTTTTAGAAAATAATTATATTTGGTTTCCTGTTATGAAATATTACTCAGGGCACATTGATTTTAAATTTTACAAAAGGAATACTTTGAAGTGTGGTGCTATTGTGAGTCCACAGTGAAAACTGATACTTGAATGAAATCGTAAAGTCTGTCACATTTACTCCTAAGACGACTGCCCTGTCCCTGAATGCTGA